TCACCAGTGGGACTTGCAGACTTAAAACAGCACTGAATCTCTGCCTGACTTCTCTGCAGAATACCCTCTCTACAGCAGCAGGAGGTGTACCCATAGTTACTAGGGCAGTGGTAGTAAATTGCATCCCGGGGGTGTGTCTACCCCCAACAGGATGGCAGTTTATTACCGCTGGGGGTGGCCGCTACTCCATTCCCCAGTTGGAAGCCTGACAATGGATTCTAGAACCAAGATTTGGTTCATTACTCGTTGTTAGGGATACCATTTTCCTATCAACAAGGAGCAATAATACTTCCTAAGTGATAAGAACCCTATAGTTACTAGTCTTGTGGCTCACCCAGCAATGATGGTGCTGGGAAGGGGGGGGAGGCTGGGTAGCCTTACTATTAAAGGGTTAGGCCCAGCAATGGGGAGATGACCCATGGTTGCTGAGAGTGGTGCTCTCCTCATGCTCTCCTCATCGGGAGGAGAGCAGCCAAGGATGCTACTTCCTTAGAAATAGGGCAACTGGGAGGTGCTCTGTGGGAACATCCCTGGATGGGCGGCTGGCTCTCAGCAAGACAGGCAGTTTGAGGGGCAGAATCCACAGCCACGAACAGCAAGGCTTATCAGCAAGAAGGAGCCATGGTTGCTGGGGATACAGCTTCCTCAGCAGAGGGGCAGTTCAGTTGCTAAGGAACCACTTCCCTAGCAACCGAAGGTAGACCCACTACTCCCAAATGAGAGTATCTCCAGCAACCAGGAATGACCTGGTTTTGGGGGTGACACTTCCATGGCAACACAGGGTAGGCATGAGGTTGCTATGATACGGTTTCCCTTTCCCTAGCAACAGAGGGCAAATTAGCCATACCGAGGGGTAACAAGTGCTAGCAACAAGGGGCAATCTGGAGATACCAGGAACACACAGTTTCCCTAGTGGCCAGGGAAGGCAGGTGATAGTCACCAGGGGGGGCAATCGGCTGTCAGCCACAGCTGGTAGCCCTACACCCTGCTCTCCTCCCTACTAGGGGCAGAGCCAACCCTTGGTAGTGGGACCTGCTGGGTCTTGGGAAGCCTCCCTCCCGCC